TTACTATTATCAAAAGTAATATCATGCCTCTTCTACTTTGCTTTCATGAAGTTTGGTGTCTTCCCTGAGTCTAAAGTTATAGGTTATATACGTCATAACCTGAAGAAAAAAAGCAGGCGCTTGTTTTACCTGTGAACAAGCATCTCATAACCTTCAGGAATATCATTCTCATTGTTATTGGGTGAAGCGGCTGTTTCCATGTCCCTTGATTCAATAAGAGGATGTTAGCATATCACTGAGTATCTGCCGACTACCTTACTATTATCAAAAGTAATATCATGCCTCTTCTACTTTGCTTTTATGAAGTTTGGTGTCTTCCCTGGGACTACAATTATAGGTTCTATACGTCATAACCTGAAGAAAAAAGCAGGCACTTGTTTTTACTGTGAACAAGCATCTCGTAACCTTCAGGAATATCATTATCATTGTTATTGGGTGAAGCTCTGTAGGCTATTGCCAGTGACAAATGGTTCAGTAAACGATGAAACATTTAGAACATCAAGAATCATATTTTTCTTTTTGAGTATTATGTCTTTTCTTCAACTTTTGTAAATGTTGCTAATAATTTTAATAGCATATAGGTTTGTTTAATTCAAGGAAAGAGGCATATAAATAAAATTCATCGTCCATATGGCACTACGGTACCGAATTCTTCTTTAATGTATTGTATCCTTTGTACATAAAAACACAAGAAAAACTGAAAAATCTCCGTCCCTCCCTTCCTCCTTCGCTGAATAATCTTAAGTCCTGGGCATCATACTCTGAATAATCTTAAGTCTGGGGCACCATGCAATCCTGTATTTTTTTCTTCTTAAAATAATCTGAACACCCTTGACAGCAAAGTAAGAAGATCTTAGCATACTTGACCTTTGGTTTATTGTTATTTTAGTATTTTAGTATCTGGTGACTAACTTGCTATTATCAAAAGTAATACCATGCCTCTACTATTGTTTCATAAAACATAGGCATCTGTCCAAGGATCTCTACATTTGTATATTTTGTATGCCATATTGTCATATAACCTGAAGAAAAAAAGCAGGCGTTTGTTTTTTGTGTGAACAAGCATCTCGTATCCTTCAGGAACATCACTCTCATTGTTATTGGGTGAACCTTTAGAGGCCTTTGCCATTGACAAAAGGTTCAGTAAATAGTGTAACATTTACAACCTTATGAATTAAAATTTTCTTTTTTATTACATGTATTTGTGTATGTTAAGAATTGCAAAAAATCATGTATGATTACTTAAGAAAGGAGGCATATAAATCCTGGTGCACTCTGAATCAAAATATCTTAATCGATTATCGCATTTGTGCATATAGCACGAGCGGGACCCGACCCCCTTCCTCCTTTCTGAGCCCCTAACCAGTATAATCTCAGCCATCAAGGACACAATCTTCTTTGTTTTTCTCATGTGTAGATGCACGCCAATTTATATCTCAGCTTACTGACTACCATATTAGCTCTCATATTGGAATCACTTCACTTTCAGTTTTTGTTCTAATAAATGACTTTCTATCACTATATAATAAAACGTAAACTCTATTGAGACTTTGAATTCCATTTTTTATTTTGATTTCTTCATATATACTAATAATTCAGTGTAGTGAGAGATTTCTTTTAAGTTCAATATTTGGTTATGCATATAATTGGCATAGCGCGAGATATCTGAACATTTTGTCTGTTGTTTTGTTATTATTGCTATAGTTCAATCATTAAGTTGAGCAGGAGAATCATCTGTTAATGGTGTAGAGTTAGCTGCATGCTTTGGGGTCCTTATATATATATTAGTTAAAAACTACGGTAATACCTGAAGATTCCATTTTACATTTTAAATTTGTGCAAATGCCGTCTTTACATAGTTCTTATATTTTGAATTGCTAGTTGCTACATCCTACATATAGTTTGGAAAGTAAGACATAATGAACTTATTATTTCCTGTGAATCTACTCATTTTGAGACATTTTGATTCCACTAAACAATTTATAGATTAACAAAATCGGACTCTACATGTAAATTATGGGTTTATATTTTAAAAGCCATTGTTGGCTTCCTAGGTTACTCGGACATGCATTTTGGATGCCGTGTCCATGTCCGACACGTGTTCGACACGGGCTCTCCGAGGACATGCCATGGACACTTGTGGTTCAATGCAAAACCCGATTTCCCTATTAGTTATATCTTGAACTAGTTTCTTTGGTAATATTGGGTTCAAAACCAATTTGTTTTTGAATCGAAAATTGAAACCCGTTACTTAGTTTGAAGAACACCTTTCGTATTATCCCATGCAATCATAACAAAAATTTTATTGTTAAACCTTATTCTTAGTTTTATTTAACTTGATTCTTAATTGCTATAGATAATAGAAAGAAACACACAAATGTTATAGGTATTTTAATTCAGTAATCTAATATAAATTATATATACAAATATAGCCGTGTCGCTGTATCCTACATTTTACAAATTTGCTGTGTCCCGTGTTCATAACCGTGTTCGTGTCCGCACCCGTATCCGTGCTACCTAGTTGGCTTCGTATTTTTCTTGTTCTTTATGTCCTCATTTCAGTTGCTGTCCTGTGAGCAGAATACCCGGGAAACTGCTTTCGCAATCAGGAAGTTGGCTTTAACCAAGGCTAAAAGGTACCTTGAAGATGTTATTGCTCACAAACAAGCCATCCCCTTTCGAAGGTATTGTGGTGGTGTTGGTCGTACAGCTCAAGCTAAGAACCGCCACTCAAATGGCCAAGGGCGCTGGCCAGTGAAATCTGCTCGATTCATTCTTGACTTGCTTAAGAATGCTGAGAGCAATGCAGATGTATGTCTTCTCTTTTCTTTTTCTCATTACACATGCCAATGAATTGTTTTCAGGTTCAAAAATCCACTGAAGCTTGGATTGTTTTGCATAAATCCCTTGGAATTTTACACATGCCCATGAATTGTTTTCAGGTTCAAAAATCCACTGAAGCTTGGATTTTTTTGCATGAAATCCCTTGAAATTTTAACAATCATAAGAAGGCCTCTTAACCTTTTTGAATTATATTTAACCTCCCTGAAAAATTTTCGTTAACGACATTAATAAGTAGAATGCCTCCCCTTTTCCGGAAAGAGTAATATAGATGTTTTAATTGGTAGATAGGGGTAAAAATTGTTTTAGATATCTGGCAACATTGTTTTAGATGTCTTTGTTTCTCATTGTCATTCATGCTTTTAGGTGAAAGGTCTAGATGTGGATGCTCTCTTTGTCTCCCACATTCAGGTGAA